CATATATATATATATATATATATATATGTCTGTGATATATGACGATGTCATATATGATGATGATGTCAGCGTTGGAGGTGTTGGAGTTAGCGTTACCGGATGAGTAATGATTTTGAAATATACGTCAACTGTATCGCGTGACCCTCCCAGAGGTCCCAAGTTGGGAAAGTCCAAGAAAGGGAGCCAGCAATCCAAGAAAGGGAGCCAGCATTGGCCCAGTAATCCAAGAAAGGGAGCCAGGTCCATCGCCGTTTTTTCGCAGTGCGCAAAAATTGGAAAAAAGTTGTGGCGGGCTGCGATATGTGTTTGTCGCGGCATACCACCATTTTTTATAAAGTATACACGTAAAATCATCGTTTTATCGCCTTTTATTGTTCGCTGGAATCAAAGTACATCAACAACAACGGCAAATTTAGTAATTTACCAATGTAGATTTTCATATGGCTGAAAAATGTTACGACCGGGAGCTTCTGACCTCATTCCGGGGCACCGGGAGCAGCGTGTCATACCGGGAGTCTCCCGGTGAGACCGGGAGACTTGGGACGTCTGCCCTCCCTCCACGCTCGGGGGATAGCAACACCCGTGCGCGACCCATTGGACGCAAACATGGCCGCCGGGCAGCCGAAATAGCGCAGGGATAGTTTGCGTTCGATTTGGTCTACACCGCTTTCAAACGTTCTAACTGCGATTCCGCTCGACAGATCGATGAGATGACAGAGCAGCATTTAGAGATCTACTCTTGCACTCTTGCCAGTAGAGAAAAGTAGATGCGTATCGAACTGGCTATGAGAGAGTTGAGAGAGTTAGCATGTACCTCATGTACCCCATGTACAGCCGCGACGCCATTGTGTCGAGCACCGCCAGGAGATCACTCGCGCGACCACTGGACGCAAACATGGCCGCCGGGCAGCCGAGAAGCGAAGGCGGAAATTGGCCGTTGCTGGCCGCGTGGGATATATATATCTATATATATATATATGTGTGTATTGGCACGCAGATTTTATGAGCACGATTATTGCGTCGCTATGCCTCAGACACGCCGGAAGAGCGTGCGCCCGTGCGCGAACGGGTTTGATGCCCCCTTGCCCGCACTTTACCCGACTGTGTCGATATATCCGAGCTATACCCTTTCTCGTAATATTATCATTTCCCTTTTTGAGCGTATGAGGGTATTGAGTGTGGAAGAAGGATTTCCCCGAGGCAAGTACATGGCATTGGTGCACATAGAATGTGGGCTGGGGGACTTTATGGCAGAGCGAAATAACTGGGCTATACGGTGGAAGCGGGTGTAGACGGGGGTTACGTAGAGATAAGCGGGATACTTGAGTTACGTGGGGAAGCGGGATAGCTGGGTTACGTTGGGAATAGGGATAGACGGGCTCCATGGGGAATCGGAATAGATGGGTTACGGGTGAAACCGGAATATAATGATTACATAGGAAGACGGAAGAGGTCAGTTAGGAAGAAAAGTGGGATAGATTGGTCGCAGAGGAAAGCAGGGTGAATGGGGTTAAGAACTGAAGCAAGATAAATAGGTTATGGAAGGAACTAGGAAATATAAGTTACGGAAAGAAATGTGTTAGACGCGCTACGGATGGAAGCAGGGTAGAGAAAGCGGAAGATGGACACAGGTATACGGAGCGAAGAGGGAAAGGCGGGCTACACTGGAGAGTATGATGGACAAACACGGCAGTGGTAGGGTGCGTACGCATGTCCCAACGATGTTGACCGCGAGTCACAAAACCATCCCTCACTGTATTGGTTAGATACCCACTACGTCGTGCTGCTAACACAACAGAATATGCGCATGCAGAACACCGCTGATTCCCTATATGCACGTTTGCCACAGTCTGAGCATGTGTTGATGTACATACATGTGTTGATGCGATCTGGAGTGTGTAAAAAAATCATCGTGCAGAAGCCATATGACATTGTAGAGACACACCCAGGTCCAATCCCCTCATGTGGATGTGACATAATGCGCGTTTAACCTGACATGCATGTGTCGTTTACCCCTTCACCGTTCATTCTCTGTGATTAGCCGCTAGCGCGCGTAATCCTAAATTGGATACATGGAGATAAAGGGGCCGGGTCGGGCTGTCAGGACCGACCTTTTTTGTCGTGTAACCTTAGTGAGATTGGGATTAACGTAATTACGACCGGTACCTCACGCTGAGCACCACGCTGTAGATGCTAGCAGTGCAGGAAACGCAGTGGAACACGCATGCAGACACACGCACGCATGCACGAACGTGTGCTCACAGATACGCATATATGCGCATGCACACGTACGGACACGCATTTACACGCATGCGCAAACACATGTGCACGCTAGTACACACATGCTCACATGCATGCAAGCATACACGCGCGCACACATACATACGTCCACACATACACGCTGGTCTTGTGTATATATGTGTATATACGTACACTCGCATTCATGTGATGTAATCTCATAAACAAATATGCGCCCGCGTACGCAAAAACGCGCACGCCGGCACTCGTCACAGACACGCGCGCGTACGCACGCGCACGCAAGCGTGCACGTATGCAGGATTAATCAGGAAAACGCAGGCACGATCTCATCAGTTTATTCCATCAATCGGTGCGCTATGGAAATACAGAAAGCCCGGGTCTTCCCAATTGCATCGCTGCTATATGGTGAGCGAATTCCGTTCGTTCCACGCGTGCCTGGTCCACACCTGACGGCAACGACACGAAATTAACCCAAATGCCTATTACACAACAACATAATGTGTTTGTTGAATTGAGTAGATGCACGCCTTGTGCGCGTATGCGCGTGGGTGCGTGTGCGCGTGCGTGCGAGCATGCGCGCGAGGGTGTGTGCATGTGCGTGCCTGCGTGTGTGCGAGCATGCGTGCGAGGGCATGTGCGTGCGTGCGTGTGTGCGAGCATGCGTGCGAGGGCATGTGCGGGCGCGCGTGTGTGTTTGTCCATACAGAGCGAACATGAATAAAAGAACTCGCCGACCGAGTATTTACCACCCCGCGGGCTCTAGCGCACGCAGCGGGGGGGGGGGAGATGCTCAGAGCTCGTGACATCTCTCATCAGCCGTTGATGCATTGTAAGATGACCCGCCGGAGCACGCAGCTTCATTACGCCGGCGTACTGTCTGCGTGCCTCAATTTGCATACAAACTATCGTGTAAATTTCCACTCTGCATATATGGGACGTTGCTCGCGCTCGCGGGAGATCCAGAGACGGGCGCTCGGCGGGAGCAAGGTACTGGAGGTGACCCGGGACGCAGCAGCTCACTGACTTCCTCGCGTTGTGTTCAAAGAAGCTGCTTCCACCCCTGCTGCTACTATCTTCTGAGAGACGATGAAGGAGAACAGGCGCGTTGACTGTATGTCCGAGCACGCCCAAGATCATATTAATCATAAGAAGATATATAGGATAATAGGATCAAATAGATATCGAAGCATTCGTAACCGCCATGAGAGGTAAACAGATACAGATTCAGCAGTATCTGACTGATGACACAGACTGGTGCCAAATATCACAGCGGCTGAATCCGTACGAGGCACTGGTCCTTAACGACGTACGGAGCCAGTCTACAACGGGTGTAGAAATGCAGCTCGTAATAGTTGCACGCTATAGACGGACGTCTGCTCCTCGATTCGTTCTGCCCACAGCTTCCACCCATCTAAGTACACTTAGGCAACATTATCGCGTGCCCATGACGTAATCACGGGATCACGTATCACCGGCGTACAGGGTAGTGTATAGATTGCCGTAATGTTACACCAACTAGACATTTACGGGCGCATTTTCGGGTTTGCATGCTGATTAGCCAGCGCCTAATTATTGCGTCGGTATTATAGTGAGTATCGATATCGCAGCTAAGTGCTTGACATCCACGCGAACCGAAGTGCCTGTCACACGGGGATCTCACGCATGCAGACCCTGTCAACTCGTATTCAGGGACGAGTATCAGTTACAGGAGGTTTCTTCTTCCTTTCCTCTCTCCACTTATCTGCGCTGAGTATCTAGTCAACGACTAGTGTGAGTCACACGCACAGACCAATGTAAAAATGCGGCAATAGATTCTTACGCGGGGTTAATCTGATATAGGTTATACTTTCGATGTTCGACGGCAGGATGTGACAATCCTATTTGAGATTCGAGTTATGATATATATTCCTTGGTTTCCTCTAGCGCACATACAACGATAGTATCGGTGTGTGGGATATACGCCAGCCAGCCATCATGTGGACTCAGGCCGTATATGTTATAGTAATGTTATAGTGAAATTTCCACGGTCTTTGCTTGCTCGACGTATGAATCCGCTCCGTGCAGCTTACAGCGACACAATTGATATCAAATACAGCAGGTTATACACGTGCCATATCATCGATATCAGTCACTATCTTTACATTCAGATTTGAATTCTGCGCGCGAGAGAATAGTTCGGAATATTCCGAGAAGGATTTAAACTCGGCTGCGGGCAATCTATTCGTGATAACACGGCGGCATTATGCCGTATTAGAGTGGCGCGCGTCCACATTCTATAGTCGCTACCAGCACCTCTCCTTATCTACCCTGAAGCATTCATGAATTCAGAAGAGGCGAGCGCGTCATCAATCATCGCAGAAATGCCCATTTAATAACACTGGCAAATCTCATTCTGAAACTCGTTTAACTTTATCTCTCGCGGCGAGACAATTTTTAGTCCTCCCCGTCGTGCTTTCTTCTTCGTATAGCGTAACTTCCCTGCCACACGCTCACGCACTAGTATTCCGTCAACATCCGGGAGCTTGAACGTTCGCAGGCCGCCATTTTCTCAATCTCCGGGAACGACTGTTTCTCTCTCTCTCTCTCTCTCTCTTTCATATAATTTCATTAAAAGTCTCTCGTTCACACGGTGAAGTATTTCCGATGCGGCACAGTAGATAAAGGGATAATTCGCAGACGACGGTGACGAGTCGAGATTTCGGATTCTCGCCCCACACATATACAGGCCTACTGCCGCCGCGATGAGCGAGACATCGACAATGACAACGAATGCAGATTTACGTCTGCGGCGGAGGTGCGTGCGAAAACGACGTGACGGCTTTATAGATCGCTAAGAGACGCTGCACGATGGGTGACGACATCGCTTTCGGTGCGCGAGCGAGGTTAAGCTTTCTTTAGGCAGCGTCGCAATAACGCTATTCCATTTGCGCGCTGCATGCTGTTACGCCACAGGTAATGTGGTTATGTGTTATATAGAAGCATGTCGTGCGCGCACGGGAGGTTCATTTCGATTGGTCTTCGATTAGCTTAGGGCTTTGGTCTTAGAATTTTATTAGTCCATACGGACGCAAAACTATTCGAGCTAGAGTGCGTGAGGAACAGAGAGAAAGCGGAAGAAAGAGAAAAGAGGGGAAACGGAAATCACTGATTCCCGCTGAGACAGGCGAGCGTAGAATGTCTGCCTCAGACGAACCAGACGCGGAAGCATTGTGTGCGATATCATCCCCCAGGGTCCGCTCAACAGTCTAGTACAGCTATTAATTATATCAGAACCCGTGTACACGAAAGCACACGTCGGTATCGTTGGCGGGGAGTTGGATTAATTTCCCCGCTGATTCACGTGATACGTCCGCAGATTTCACGTGCGCCATCTATTAACACACATAACGATGCATTCGCAGCGTAGCGGAGCGGTTTGATAACTTGGGTTTCTTTGGCTGGTCGCCGCTACCGGCTTCAATATATCTGTCAAAACGGCTTCAACTTCATGTAGAACGTAACGCGCTGCGGCGTGAATGGAAAGCAATTTCGACGTTGTCATTGTACGATAAGACTCATCCAGCCATACGCATTTGGTAAGCGAAATTGTTTTGAAGTCCTAAGTGATTTCACTCCAAGTTTTTCTATTATTGTCGCCCACAATCACGTCGCAATTTCAATTTCTAGATGTTGTGTAAGGAAAACGGCGATTTTGTTTCGATATTCACAATGGCTGTCTTCGCGCGCACCCTGGTCGCCGGATCCTCACGGGGAACCGCGATTGCCGCGGACGACGCGCGCTGGCTCATGCAGGGTAGCTGGGCCGACCGGAAAACTGCGAATCTAATTAAAAAAAAGCGCACACTCGTTCGCTAACTTATCGAATTCACGGCGACAAAAGCTTCACCAATCGATATTCACTGTATGCGTTTCGCAGTATAACGTCAACAATAACAAAGACAACCGTCCGAAAGCCCATCAAACCTAAAATGCTATCATCGATCCAACACGAATCATATCCATTCGGCTATTTATTATTACGCCGCACCAATCTGGTATTCGCTGCCAACACTGCACACCCGGCGCGTCGTACACTAACTAGATGAGATCTCGTTTGATTTGTCTCGCCCGTTATGCGTGTGATGAACGCAGGTGATGGATGCAATCACCACCCTCGTTCATGTTTGCTCAGCGGTATGATCAGCCAGCGGGCTTGCATGCTGCGTCAACCGTATATGATCAGCGTGTATACGACCGCAGGGCTGATTGAATATTTCGCTCTCCGTGAGCATAGCCGAGGAGGCGGTATATATGAGACAGAGTAACGGCCCGTAGTAATGAGCTATAACGACGCACTGACGCCGTATGATTATCTGCAGCCTCGCCGCTCCACCGATCATTCCTGATTGCTCTACATCAGAGCTCTGCAATATCTAGTCTATCCGATAAATATCATATCTATAAAGGGAGAAGGGACGCCCTTACAGCGCGTACTAATGCCGGCTGTCCGGTGACAATTAAGGCATATGTTGACTGCGCGTTACTAGTTAATTACGAAGTGCGAGTAAACCTATACAATTGTAAGGTCTTCGTTATATATGCTATGTAAGGTTATACGATTGCGTTAACAATTATTACGTTCGCATATTCACAATTAAGAGCGCAGAATACTATTAATAAAACTATTCGTAATAGTAATTGAAATAGTAATAATATTTGTAATAGTAATAGTAATAGTAATAGTAATAGTAATAGTAATAGTAATAATAATAGTAATAGTAATAGTAATAGTAATGGTAATGGTAATGATCATAGTAATGGTAATGGTAATCGTAATAGAAAGAGTAATGGTAATAGTTATAGTAATAGTATTAGTAATAGTAATTGCAATAGTAATAGAAATAGTAACAGTAATATAGTAGTTGTAATAATAAAAGTAGCACAATGAGTGAATGAAAACACGTGGTTTAATTCACTCCTGGTAATACAGTACCGATATTAATACTAGTTGTATCAGTACTAATATTAATGCAGTATTAATATAGTATTGTGAGCTTTTGATCTCAAAGGTGAGCTTGTGATCTCAAAGATACAATACACACACGCACATGGGAGAGAGAGAGAGAGAGAGAGAGAGAGAGAGAGAGAGAGAGAAAGAGAGAGAGAGAAGCAGCAGCAGCAGTGACAAATTCGACTCGACGACACGCACAGATTCAGTGAAGCTCATCAAAACCAAATTCAATTAGCTCGACTATCTTAACTCGGCAGATAAGCCAGCTGATTGCAATGAACCGCGGGATTGATGATGCAGGGCGAGATAACACGGTTTGCATGCGGCCAAGAAATGGCGGCATATCACACTGATGAACTGTGCGTGCCTTGTCGTTGGCCGCACACTCTCCACGTACATCTCCACGCCTACGCAAGACGGCCAACTAAGCAGGGTTAGCGAGGCACACCCACTAAACTGCACCCCAAACGAAAAGCAAACGGAAAAAGGGATCACGATAGAGCGCAGCACAAGTCCGATGATTAGATGCGAAATCTACGAGTAATACGTGGCTATAGGATATGTGTGCTGTGCAGTAGGCTTTGGGTCGCAGGAGAGCATCTGCACATTTCAATCTTAAAAAATGTCAGAAATCGTGCGTAATTAATCTCCATAACTCTAATATAAACGTAATGTGATGTAATGTCAAAAATAAAATTAATACATAAACATAGCAAAATGATCCATTTCACATATAGTCTTATCCTACATCGACTTCTTAAAACCGCAAGAGGTCTTCCCTCGCCATTACTCAGTTTGTTCCTTAGAAATATTTGCTTTCTTCCTTAAAGATTTTCTCACGCTACAACCTTAGTGTGCGTGATTATGGATTGACTGGTCAAGGACGGTGACCGTGACTATACAGCATGCGCCAAACACCTCTAATTTCGTTTACGCGTATCACCTAGATTATTTTCTTCGTGCAGTTACGACTACTGTGAATACCATACGGCGATGCATTAGCTTATAATGGAAATGGTGAAATTCGTACGTATCGTTGCCATTACACAAACTATATTAAAGTTTGTATAATATTATATAACACGTGCGAAACCATTTTCGCATCTCCGCCGAGGTATTCGCGTGCAATGCTACTCACTTCCTAATAAATGAACACATAGTCAAAATGGACAATTTGAATAAAATTTCGCCTAAAAATAGGCGGATACATGCGTTACATTGCTGCGTCACGCATATCGAAGTATTGTGTTTGTCACGTGATCGGACAACGCAGAGGGTGTTGTTAGAATAGTAGCGGGAGAGAATTAAACAGTTAGTATAGTAGCGGGAGAGAATTAAACAGTTAGTATAGTAGC